CCAGGTCAAATGATAACTTAGATCTGACCCAAAATACGCGCTGCAGCCAATTCTTATGAACTAAACTAAACTTCATTACAAAAGAAAAGAGAGAGAGAGAGTTGGGTGGAAGATCAATATACGGACAGACTTGAGTTCAGTTCTTGAGGTCCAGACCCAGAGCAGAGATGGCGAGTTTGTAGCTGCCCAAAGTGTTTAGAAACAGTCCAGAGGTTACAGTCCAATGTCCGTGCTCAGGGTGGCCCCAGTCAGTGACTGGGGATCTCAATCCTTGTGGCTCCGGGTTTCCCCCTCTTGAAACCCAGAGCAGAGCTGAGATGAAGCAGGATCGTGGCCCAGGGTGTTTGCATGTTTCCAGCAGCCTCTTGGCCTGGGGAAACAATCGACTCCCAACCATCCCGGCAATTAGCCCAGGTCATTTACCCATTGACGGTTCAGCTCCAGGTCACCACAACCTCCACAGAGCCCTAGAGACACTAACACCAGTTCCCTCCAGTGTCCTACATGTTCATACTCCAGGTTTGATCTTTGACTCCAAGCCCCAGCAATAGACGCACCGGGTTTGCCCCCGTCACAAGCCCTGAGCACATGGCTCCCGGCTCGCGCGGCTGCATTTCCCGGCTCAGGTCACTCGGGGGGGCGGTGATTCACTCGTTCTGGCCCTGTCACCTGTCAGTGAGATCTGACATTACACTCCTAACGTGGATGGTGGGATCCTGCCCTGGCCAGCTGAGCCGGGCTCCCCTGCAGGGGTCTCCTCCCGGGGGTGCTGTGGGGCCATGACCCCAGGCCCGCCCCGTATGGCTGGATGGGCCGGGGGATCCCAGTCTGCCCTGTTCCATTGGGGTCGCTCTGTTTTGGTAGGTCCTGGGTAAACCTGTACTGCGTCCTGAGCAGAGGGGACCTGGGCTTCTATAAGGATGCCAAGGGGCAGGCGTCGGGCAGCACCCACGGTGGGGAGCCACTGGTCCCCCTGCACCAGGCCACCAGCCAGGTGGCCAGTGACTACAAGAAGAAGAAGAACGTCTTCAAGCTCAAGTGAGTCCAGCCACCCCCCCTCCCGGGTCAGAGACACCCCATGCCCCCGCACCCAAAGACACCGGGCACCCGCCCCCCCCCC